AACCACAATTTAATGAATTACAAATACGAGTTGATGGCGTCTGATGCTGGTAGCATATCATATTTTGTTAAGCAATTTTAAAAGGGCTCAGAGACTTAGAAAATAAAACAAACGATTGGGTGAAATAATCTGGGACCTTGGCTCAAAGCCAGCATGATGTCCCAAGCAGGCACATCACAAAACCACCGCAGATCAACCGAGATTTAAATGAGTGACTTGTAAGAGCCCTTGATCTAAGCCAACATGGTGATTGAATCAGCTTCTGCATTTACAAAGTATTGGCTTCTTGGCTTTGGTGGGCCTGTGCAGTAAAGTTCATAGTGTTATTACTTTTAAGTGCATGGGTTCTATGTAGATAAAGAGGGCTCAGGTAGATTTAGATCCTGTCAATTTCAGGAAAGCACAGCTATTTAAAAGAGGAGTATAGACTATAATAATGGAAGTGAACAGGATTCAAACAGCAACTAAAGGACCTGTCCATCTTGTCAGTGTTGAGTGTCTTTTCTGATAACTTTAAGATCCTGAATATTCAATGAGGCTTACTTTGAGCAAAGTAGAAATACAACTGAAGCCTTAATTTCTTTCTTATTTTTTTGCATTTGATCTTATCCTTTTTTGATTGGCTTGTGTGATTCCTGCAAGCACTGCCCAAATGGGACTGTGTTCTTAACTTTGTATTATGAAGCCTAAATTGTAGATTCTCTAAGCCAATGGTTTGCAATCTGTGGGTCCCCAAATGTTTTGGCTTTCAACTCCTAGAAATTCTAACAGCTGGTAAACTGGCTGGGATTTCTGGAAGTTGTAGGCCAAAACACCTGGGGACCCACAGGTTGAGAATCACTACTCTAATGCATACAACAAAAATACCACTTGTATAACATAAACAATAATATAATTCAACAACAGTATATAAACATGCTGCGAACATACCACAAGACTGGGATTCATTAGAGAAGAACCATAAAGCTTTGGTGAAGGTTTTTGTGTGTGTGTGTGTGTCAGGAGCTACTTGAGAAACTGCAAGTTGCTTCTGGTGTGAGAGAATTGGCTGTCTGCAAGGACATTGTCCAGGGGATGCCCAGATGTTTTGATGTTTTACCATCCTTATGGGAGGCTTCTCTCATGGCCCCGCATGAGAAGCTGGAGCTGGCAGAGGGAGCTCATCCGCGCCCTCCCCGGATTTGAACCTCTGACTTATCGGTTTTCAGTCCTGCTGGCACAAGGGTTTAACCCACTGTGCCACTGGGGGCTTTCACTTTGGTAAAGTGACAGACAATACAAAAAGAGGGAGGCTGTACTACAGAGTTTATTAAATCAAGGGAGCTTTGAAGACTGTGAGCAGGGCATTGATGACCAGCTCATGAAAGTCCACCTCATGACAWATAACTCTCCAGACTGAAGGGATGGTTGGCTCCATTCTCCTCCCCTTTTCCTGTTGTTTTTTTTTTTTTTTTTTGCTGGTAGATCTTGCTAGGTAGATAAGTTCTGTTTGTATCAAAGGAGTAGAGTATAATGGAGTTCGCCTTAATGCTATTCTAAAAGATTTCACTTCTTTGAGAGTAGCTTTTGGGGAAAAATTGTGAAAAACGGAGCCATGAATATTCTCTTTCTCCAGACATTAATGTATTTTCTTTCTTTTTTTTCCCCCAGCACCCTTTTTAATTATCACACTCCTACTTAAACCTAATACACCCAGCTAGAAAGTGTGTTTGGATGTCACCTTTAATTGGTTTAGTCAGTGTTGGGCATTTTAATAATTGGGAGCAGTAAACTTTAATTGATTGAGCTGTGAGTTATTGGGGCATTTATGTTTTATTTTTACAGACTGCTTTTGTCAGTGTTGCTGTAATAACTATTAAAGGTGAAAATGTTCGGTGTGGACTTTTCCATCTCACAATTACCAGTAACTTCTATTGGTTCAATTTAAGGTGCCTTTCATGTTTCCTTAAGTTTTGCAAGGTGGCACGTATTATAGTTTTGAGTCTATGCAGTAATTTGATATAAATGGATTAATAGGTGAAAAGACCCAGCACTTCATTGTATAGTACTGTGAATGTGTGGCCCTTTGGGGATGCTGGCCCTCCACTCCACACTCCAGAAAGTTGTTCTGCTTTTTGCACTGGTGTCATCATTTATCATACAACATTTTATTTACTCATATACTTATCCACCAACTATATATATTCATGTATAAGTCTTGGATCGAGAGTCATTCCCAGCACTACCATTTTCCCACCCAGGTATTTGAAATGTCAGAAGCAGCACTGTGGCAGAGAGGGTAGAGTGGGTGTGTGCTTCTTTTAGGTTTTCCAGGGACAGACTAAGTTTTCAGCTTTCACCACTTTAGTCAAAGATGGCTTATTTTATATATATATTATAGTTGAGGCACAGTACTTAAATTGACAGGCTAAGCTCTCAGCTTTCACCACTTTATTCAGACATGGTTTCATTTTTGGTAAGAGCTATGATACAGCACTTGAATTGACCTAGATTTTGGGGTCAGTTTTTAATCTAAATTTCTAATTTGTGTGTAAGTACTTCAGAATATGTGTAGCAGCTGTTTATATCATATTATTTATATCCAGGCAGTCCCCAAATTACTATTCATTTATTTACAGTATTTACATTCCGCCCTTCTCACCCTTCAGGCGACTCAGGGCAGATTACAATTCACATATACATGGCAAACAATTCACATATACATGGCGAGTCGCCCTAGGGCTGAGAGCGGCGGTCAACAAATGCATTAAATAAATAAAAATAAACATTCAATGCCATTTAGGCATACAACATATATAGACAGACACAGAGGTAATTTAACATTCCAGCTTTTCTGGCTTCATGAGGGTATGCTTGATTCTGGCCACAGGGGGAGCTGCTGCTTCACCATCCACTTGTGACACCGAGTCCTTTGATGGAGTACTTCCTCATTCTTCTGCACACTGCTGGAAGGTTTTATGGCGTCGTAAATTAGTTAAATTAGCCTCCCCGCATAAAGTGGTATCTAAATTTCGTACTTGATAGATGCAACTGTCTTTCAGGCTGCAAGCTAGACTATTAATGGTCAGGAGCTTACTCCGACCCCAGCACCCTTTTCAAACTCATGACCTTTTGGTCAGTGGTGATTTAATGCAGCTAGCTCCTGACTAGCTGTGCCATAGCCCATCCTCAAACATCCAACTTACAAATGACTCATTGTTAAGCATGGTGAGACAACAGGAAGTGAGATAAATCTACCCCGAGAAGGGAAATTCATTCCTGAAAAGAGTAATCATGGGGAAAAGGTGTCTCAACTGAACAAAATCTAGTGATCACAGGGACAGAAAGTAAGATGAAATCTTCTGAACAGGGGCACAGAACACAAAACAAATAGTACAAGGGTATTAGCCTTTCCCTACAATATCCAAAACTCAAAAAAACCAAAACTTTTGGCTGGTGTTCCGCTTAAAAAATGTACCTGTTCTGACTTACATACAAATTCAACTTTGGGAGGGAATAGGTTCATTCTCCCATATGTGATGGGATTGCAGAAAAATTCTGAACTATTACAGTAAAATAAGAAATGTAATGGAAGAAATAATAGGGAAAAAATTAAAGTGGGATAAAACCAGATTAATGTCTCTCACTATAGAGGCAAAAGAAGATAACAATAATTGGACAGAAATCCTAACATATAGTATAACCGCAATGCAGGCTACAATAGCCCGAGGCTGGAGAGAGAATACAAGATGAGATTTGGAAACTTGATGGTCTTATCTCTCAGAATACATAATCAATGATTTCATTAATCAAAGGAAAAACAAGTGTATGAATAGTCATACAAAACAAGACTGGTATAAGAAATTGTCTATTCTAACCAATAAAACAGATGGAGATGATAGATACAGCATCTTGAACTAGGCTTTCCACATGGTTGAATCTATGCAATGATATCATTCGGAATTGCTGTTCCAGAATGGAGGGGGGAAATGTGGGGGAGGGCATGGGTAAAGGGTGATAAACATCTAAGGAATATATAAAGCTTCGTTTAAGGTAAAATAACTTTTGGAATAATGTATATCAAGATAAGGTTTGAATAGATGTTTTAATAAAAATGAAATAATAAATTCAACTTAAGAACAAACTACAGAACCTATCTTGTTCATAACTTGGGGGCTGCCTGTTAAGATAGACAGATAGATAGACAGACAGACAGACACACACACACATATATATACAATACAAGCTAGCAGAAACTATAAGTAAAGGTAAAGTTTCCCCTGACATTAAGTCTAGCATGTCTGACTCTGGGGGATAGTGCTCTTCTCCATTTCTAAGCCAAAGAGCTGGCATTGTCCATAGACACCTCCAAGGTCATGTGATCAGCATGACTGCATGGAGTGTTGTTACCTTCTCACAGAAGTGGTATCTGTTGATCTACTCACATTGGCATGTTTTCGAACTGCTAGATTAGCAGAAGCTGGGACTAACAGCAGGAGCTCACCCCATTCCCCTGATTTGAACTGCCAGCCTTTTGGTCAGCAAGTTCAGCAACTCAGCACTTTAACCCACTCTGCCACCAGTAGAATCTATACATTGCAATCATCCCTTCTTCTGTTCCCACCTTTGTACCGTCATTATAGAGAAGAGCACATTCCTGCTTAACCAAGAATATGTCTCTGTTTTGAAACATAATAGATTTTCTTTTGTGTATGTGATGATGTTGACTTTTTTGCAAATAAGTTGGGGAAAGACTTGTATTTACAACACTAATAGCTTAAAAATAAATTCAGGTGAGCTATGATCGCTCTGCAGTGAAAAGCATGGAAATGTGGGAAATGTTCCTCTCCTAAACTCTATCACATGTTGAAAATTTGCCGGCCAATGTTTTATTAAAACTGCTGTTCCCTGGAATTTGCATTGCAATGTGGTTTCTGTATTTCAGTAATCTGATACAACACTGTTGTTGTTGTCTTTTGTTCATCCACCTCCCCTGACTTCCCCTCTCCCCTGATTTGCAGCATGATGTATCTCAGACCCTGCTCAAAGCAACCCTGGACAGCGTGGTGGAGGAATGTGTCAGTTTTGTAGGAGTTGATATTAACATCTGTTCAGAAATATTATTAAGGTGAGCTTTATCCATTTGGATTCAGATGAGACATATCCATGTTCTCTAATCTACTATGGCTTTCCAATGTGCTTGGTGTCAACTTCAGTCACCACATCCACAGTCACGTCCCTTTTTCCATGTGTTGCAGTTGAGGTAAATTGGCCCCATTTTTATGAGGATCCCAGTATTTGGGATCCTCATAGATAAGAGACAAATAAATGTCAGCTTTTGTCAAAATGGAGTCAATCCAGCTAGCTAAAATAGATCAACCTATAATTAAATCTTTAATTATTATTTTTTTTTGCTAACATATGTGCCCCCTTCTCTAGTGCTTTTGCTAAACCATACCTATAGTGCCCAACGTGGCAATTTTTGGATGTATTTATTGAACCAGAAGAATATACCTAGTTGGACAGTGGCCACTCTTTTAATGTATTTATTGTAATGGGTAGCTTGACCAATAGATCTAATAAGAATAAATGTGCACCGACATGGTAATGCTTTGAAGTAAATGCTGCCAGTTAGATTATTGGAAATTCTGTAGTAAACTGGTTATGTTTGTGAGCATGAACACAGGATAAGTCTTAAGGATATTTTTAAAGCTTCCTAAAATCCTAATCTGGGTGGCAGCTAAGCTTAGAAAGAACAAGGATACTTGGGAAAGTTCAAAACAAGATGCATAAGGTGCATGTACTTTGTTTCCAGGGCTAAAGGGATCCCTTTGAGCATTATCTTATACCCTACATGTTTTTCTTACAATGGCAGCATTAACAGAAGTGCTTTTTTTCATCTAAATGAAGGTGTTCAAGACCCATGTATCTTGATATCAAATTCTTTAAGCCTAGGGCCCGAGAGGCATGCACATTATGTGTCTTGTTTTCAAATAAAAATAGTGTAGTGAGCTTAGTTTTGGAATTACAACATATTTGCATGTGTAGTCCTTGGCAGGTTCCAGGAGGGTATTCCCCACCTCTATGCCCCCCCCCTCACACACACACCTGTTTAACAAAAAGCATGATGTTCTCTTACAACAGTTATTGTTAGTTATGTAATATGGAATTCGATATCTGTATTTGTTGATGAAGAGATACTTCCTCTTTTTTTTCTTTTTTCTTTTTTTTTCCTTTTGCTTCTTAGGCATATTGCAGGGCTGAATGCCAATAGAGCTAAAAATATAATTGAGTGGCGAGAGAAGAATGGCCCATTTATCAATCGGGAGCAGCTCAAAGCCGTCAAAGGACTGGGTCCAAAATCCTATCAGCAGTGTGCTGGCTTTATCAGGATTAATCAGGAATATATACGAACATTTTGCAGGTAACGTATGCTCAGGTAATGTGGATGACAGGTTATACAGTTGCCTCTTCCCTTCATTCTCTGTATATCAGTGGTGCTCAACCTGTGGATCCTGAGGTGTTTTGGCCTACAACTCCCAGAAATCCCAGCCAGTTTACCAGCTGTTAGGATTTCTGGAAGTTGAAGGCCAAAACATCTGGGGACCCACAGGTTAAGAACCACTGCTGTATATTAACAAGTAAGTGAAGATGGGAAATCATTCCCTTTCTACTTAGCTCTCCTTCTACACTGCCATATAATCCAGATTATCAAAAGTGATAATCTACATTATTTGTTTTGAACTGGATTGTATGAGTCTACACTTCCATATAATCTGGATTTGATGTGGCAGTGTACTAGGGGCCTTAGAGGCACACATTTGGGAGTAAAAGAGATTCCCAGAATGAAATGACTTGTAATCTTCCCAGTGCTTCCCTGCCTTGAGCCCATTTTCATTTGCTCCCTTGCCTTTTTAGTGCTTATAAGATTTCATCATAGACATATCTTTGGAACAAAGCTTTGGAAAGTTATCATGTTTCTAGGGCATGGTGCACGACTGGAGAACATTTCACCTTCCACATGTTTTTAGATTACAGTTGACACCATGCCTTGATTTGGCTGTGTCAGATGGGGCTTGATAGGAGTGGTAGTTCAAAACCTCTGGACATGAAAATGTTCTCATCAATACAGAACAATATAAAATACAGAAATAATGCAAATAAACATTAAATAACCTATCTATGTCAGTATTAAGAAATTGTAGCCATATTACAAAAGATCCCACGAGAGTAAAATGTGGAAAAATAGGAAGTGGAGGCAGTGGGAATAAATTGAAAATTATTCTTTCTCCTTCTGCTTATTCCTATCCACAGGCATGCAATCGCAACTTTCAATAACCAATAGGAATTCTTCATGTGTTGTGTTTTTTTCTTTGCTATTTTGACCTTGGCAAGCTGCAGACATTCTCTGGCAAACTGGGACTTTGTGTCATAATAAACTTTCTCATCACTTGTAGTGGAAGAAACCCCAAATGACAGTTCGATTAAATTTTAAATGGAGCAGTAATGTAATAGCAACTTGATTGAACTCAGTCTGGAACTGAGCGTCGGGATTCATTCTGGAGGCTGACCTAGCCAGAGATCTGCAGATACTCCAAAGGCCAAACCAAAGCACATAAAAAAATCTGCCAGTTTGCTCAAGTAGATGTGTGCAAGGACATAGTCCATAGGATGCCCAGATGTTTTGATATTTTACCATCCTTCTGGGAGTCTTCTCTTATGTCCCCGCATGGGGAGCTGGAGCTGACAGGAGCTAATCTGCACTCTCTCCAGATTTTAACCTCTGACTTTCGGTCTTCGGTCCTGTCGGCAGGGGTCCTCAGACTTTTTAAACCGGGGGCCAAGTCACAGTCCCTCAAACTGTTGGAGGGCCAGATTATAATTTGAAAAACACATGAATGATTTCCTATGCACACTGCACATATCTTATTTGTAGTGCAAAAAACACTTAAAAACAATACAATAATTAAAATGAAGAACAATTTTAACAAATATAAACTTATTAGTATTTCAGTGGGAAGTGTGGGCCTGCTTTTGTCTGATCATCATCATCATTATCATCTTTATTTGTATCACACCCTATCTCCCCAATGAGGACTCAATTTTGTCTACTAATCTAAGACTGGGCTTGTACTTCAGCACATAAAAATAAGGATTTTTCTTGAGGCGGATTAACACTAAATTAACTAATAAGTGCAGTATGTTCTATGTAAGTTTTTAATCTGGACACCTCTGATAATAATAATAATAATAATCATCATCATCATCATCATCATTATCATCTTTATTTGTATCACACCCTATCTCCCCAATGAGGACTCAGGGCAGCCAACAACATATAATGGTAAATATTCAATGCTGCATAATACAATCAACTAATAAACAAGACATACCATAAATTAAAAAAAACATATTAAACATCGACATCAAACCATAATGAGACATCACCACCAAGTTACACAACACACTAAAATCCCATTTTCACTCAACTATTTTAACAAGACTTAATTTTTAATTAGTAAAATTATTAAAACATTAAAAGTGATGTACAATACAATAAAATAAAACAACAATCTGTAAGTAGCCGTCCTGTAGGAAACTATGTGATATAGTTTCTGTGGTGGCCCCCCGGCTGTGGAATGCCCTTCCTATGGAAGTAAGATCAGCCCCCTCGCTAATGGTGTTCCGAAGAAGATTAAAAACTTGGATTGAATGGGCATTCGGTTAAACAGTGCAATGAATGTGATGATTACAGGAATGGAAATTTGGACGACGGATTAGATCACGACTCTAGTTATGAGATGCATTGTGTTGTCTATTGTTGTGTCAATATTGTATATTATGCTTTTATGGTTTTAAATTGTATATCGTTGATTGATTCTTATCCTTGTTGTAAACCGCGTTGAGTCGCCTGTTGGGCTGAGAAACTGCGGTATACAAGTAAAGTAAATAAATAAATAAATAAATAAAATAAGTTCAAGTATTCTTTTTCTAAAATGCTTGAGGCCAGAATTTTGGATTTTTCACATTTTGAAATATTTGCATATACATAATGAGATTTTCCATATCTATCGGAATCATATAGACAATATTTTAAATGATTTTGTTCATAAAACAAACTTTGTGGTTGTTGAACCATCAGAAAGCAAAAGTGTCATTACTTCATCCACTGATATGGACAATTTTGGATTTTGGAATAATTCAATATTATAGATAAAGGATACTCAACCTGTAATGTGGACTGAACTTGATGGTAATTGACTAACAGTAAATATCCATTCAGATTGATTCAGGAAAGGGAAATCTGGGCCTTTTGTTTCCAAAGTATGTACCAAGCATGGGCAAACTTTGGCCGTCCGGATGTTTTGGACTTCAACACCCACAATTCCTAATAGCAGGTAGGCTTTTAGGAATCATGGGAGTTGGAGTCCAAAACACCTGGAAGGCCAAAGTTTGTCCATGCCTGGTATAGACTATACAATGGAACTATTGCTGAGGTGTAGCTATGATGAGTGGGGAAAAATGAGAGCATCACCTCCCGCTCAGAATTTAGACTGCCAAAATGACATTTTTCTTCGTTCCTCAAATTTCTAGCCTTGCTGTAACTTAAACCTTCAGTCAAACATTTTGAAATAAAGCTTAGACATCTAAAGAGAAAAAAGGTGCAGCCAGCGTTATTAAGGGAATGAGAACACAGGTGTGAACAATTTTCAGTGTCTCGTTTTCTGTACAGCTATAAACATGGGGACTAAAAGAATATTTCACTTGGGTAGGGCAACATTTTGATTTGAAGGGGCCTTTTACTCCCTTATAGCTATAACCCTAAACTTCATTTCTTTGGCAATGCTGAAGGTTGAACTTAGGACCTGTTATGCATACAAATTTATTGGATATTTATTATATATTTGAAATATATAAGACTATCTGACAAACTGTATCTCAGTCCCACACCCGTTTCAAGCGTGGTTGGTGCAGACAAGAGAGGGGCCCTTCTCCATTATCATTCCTGCCGCTGGAACTCCCAACTCAAAGAAATAAAAATGGTCCTCTCTCTCTTCTTCTTTAAAAACTCTTGAAAACTCATCTATGCACTGGCGCTTATGGAGAGGAGGAGGAATAGAACACCTTAAAATAAAACCTCACCTGGATGCTGGCAACCCACTCTAGCCCTACATGCTGCTATAAATTATGTTTTAATTTTATGCATTTTAGTTGTTTAGATTTTAATATGATGCAAATGTGTCTGATTATATTTATTGTGTTTTATTTAATTACTTATTTTTGACTAGTTATTATAAATTTTTACTGAAATTGTTTCATGTATTGTCTCAATTTGGTTTGTTTGTTTCATTATTGTGGCACTGCACATTTGCCACTTTCATTTGGAAACCACCCTGAATCCCCTTGGGCGGGTTATAAATAAAGATTATTATTATTATTATTATTATTATTATTATTATTATTATTATTATTATTATATCTTCTGTCCTTCTGGGTTTCCAGAGGGATACTAAACAAAAATATGAAAACAAGTCCAAAACTAGTTTCAACCCATATCAAGCAATATAATTTGATGGCCCACCACAAACCAGTGAGATGAAGCCATATTGCTATCACTTGGGAGGTTGTTCCAGAGTAGAATGGCTGTTACAATATCCCTGTCTAGTACTGCATATACTCGAGTATAAGCCTAGTTTTTCAACTCTTTTTGTAGGCTGAAAAAGTCTGCCTCGGCTTATACTCGAGTCAAGGTTATTTATATTTTACTCTGTTATTGTTTTGTTGTTGTTGTTGTTATTTTACATTTATTATTTTACTCTATTTATTATTATTATTACATTTATCCTTTTACTCTTATTTTAAATTTATTATTTTACGTTATTATTGTTATTATTACATTTATTATTTTACTCTTTTATTACTGTTATTATTATTATTATTATTATTATTATTTATTTATTTGCTTCATTTCTATACCGCATTTTTCAGCCCAGCAAGGCGACTCAATGCGGTTTACAAGGTACAAATTATCATAACAATGTCGAAATATATTCAACTGTTATTATTATGTTTCCCTTATTTTACTCTATTCTTACTATTATTATTATTGTTATTATTATTACACTTATAATTTTATAACCTCTTTATTATTATTATTATTATTATTATTATTATTATTATTATTATTATGAGTCGCCTTCAGGCTGATATAGGCGGGATACAAATGTTGTAAATAAATAAAATAAATAATTGGAAGAATACTTAAGCACATTTACATCGAAGAAACTTAGAATAATGGTTTAATCAGAGTTGGATAGTCTAATCTTAAATTACAGTTTTATTGGTATCTATTTTTATTTTGAAATTTACCCATCTGCTGCATTTCCCACCCTCGGCTTATATTCAAGTCAATCAGTTTTCCCAGTTTTTTGTGGTAAAATTGGGTGCCTCGGCTTATATTCGGGCTGGCTTATACTCGAGTATATATGGTATATTCCTCTGTTTAGGAATGAATGTAGTAATTAGTATCAGTAAACAAATATTTCTCTAGATATGCACTGAACTATTATAAACTATGGATCCACATTTGAAAGGATGTTTCTGTCCATTTTCACTCCAGAAATCTTTTAAGTCGAGCAAACACAATAGCCTCTATAGAATTCAAGTAGGTCCACTATACGCCAATTTTATAGGACTTTTAATTACAAAACACATTTTCAGTCATAATATGAATTTTCCTTTGCTCTTTGTGATGCTACAGTAGCTACAAAAATTGCATGGTGAATGAATTGTACATGCTTCAGCTTTATCCAGGGTGAAGGATGAAGAAAATATGCATTTGAAGGACATTCTTAAAACTATAATAACCTTTTTCTTTTTCCTTTCATGATTTTGGGCAATAGTCAAACAAGTGAGCTTGCAGCTGGGAATCCCAAAGAAGCCACAAATGAGAAACAGGGTAAAAAGAAAATTAAAGCAGCGGCAAATGTCACTTGGCAGCCAGATCCGCTGGATCAGACTTGCATCCACCCAGAATCATATAATACGGCAATGAGGTAAGCCATCATACAATGGGCCTACAGTTAGCTAATTTAGCTTTTAATCTACAGTGCAGTCATTTTTCATGGATAATGGAAAATCTAGGAAGCAATGCACTGAATTTCATAAGGCATGCGCTATGGTCTTAGGCTCTGTTCAGTGTCGATTTTCTTTGATTCTCTCCAGCATTTGAAAATGACTTCATATACCTCATGATGTCCCTTACTGTTCAAGAGCAACCATCTATTCCCATATATTCTGAAACCCTTAGTGGATCCTTAGTGAATTTTGAGAGTATTTAGTTGGGTGATAATTCTGCAACTTTCTGAAAGTTGAAATATATTCACATCTTTTTATAATATGCATGACCTATATCAGTAGGAAACATATATCTCCTTATTTGTGCAGAAACGACATTCAGTTTTCGCAAGTTAATAGAGAAAGGGGAAAGTGTGACAGAAAGGGGAAGAGACTGAAGGGAAAAAAGTAGTTGATGTCTTCTTGAACTCATGCAGCACTGTTTTAAGATTACTTTGATTTATAGATGAAACTTCACTGGTTAATGTTTATGGGGGAATCCTTTTCCTCTAATGCAAATACTTGGGATTTTCTTCAGATTTGCAACAGAGAAGAAAAAGTTTAAATCTCTTCTGAACCTGTTATTCCCACTCCTACCTAGTTGGTATGATATGTGTTTTTATAAACCTACACAGTGTAAGAAAAGATGCATTCGGCACTATGTATTGTCTGGCCCTTGCTTTGGTGTATATATGTATGAGATTGTGCAACAATTTATGCCCTTAAGACATCAGATATTCCACTTTTTTCCTGTCAAACCATTACAGGCAAGGCATTTTAACTATATCAGATGGGACGATGGAAGACTTTCCCACTTTAATGCATTTACCATAATCCTTGGACCGTTCTATTGGCAAACTTTGCAGGGGTTCTAACAAAGGCCTGCATATGTAGGAAATTGGGAAAGATCCAGCAAGGGATTTTATGTCTTCTGGAAAGTAGCCTAGGCTTGGTTACTAGATTAACACCCCCTCCTTGACTTCCCATTTCCTTCTAATTGACAAGGATTCAAACTTGCGTAAAGAGTGAAGCTACTAAGCTTAAAAGAGGAGAGAAAGCTAGAAATCAACTCCACCTCCGTGGACAACTAAGAAGAGTTGGTTTTTGGTTGACCACTGGCCCTGGTGGTTGGAGGATTTGGGGAGTTGTAGTCCAAAAAAGCAATGTTCCCAGATTCTATTTCTTGAGTTTTCCAATGCAGTTTGAATCTCATTGAACACATGGAAAACATATAAAGAGCAGAGCTTGGGAATGTTATTTTTCACTTTTCATAGCTCTGCTTCAACACTCCTGTGTTACACAGGCATGATAACTCCTATGTTATAATGCCCACTACTTTACTTTTAAAGACCTTTGATTCAGAGGAGCTTCACCATTTAAACAGAATAATCTCTGGAGGCCCTTTCACATGGCAGTTGGTCTTTCACATTTTCAGGTACACGTATTTGCAGATTCGTTTGATATTTGGGAATCTCCAGCGTGGGTCTGTGGCCTATTTCTGTCATAGAATTGCACTGGAAAACCTTAGAAAGTCCTAGAGATAAGGCTTCTCTAGGTGTTTGTAGATCAACGTCCAGAAGGAGGTGACCACAGAGTTGTGCTGCAGTACCTAGAGATTCCTAGAGAAGTATTCTCCCAGGTTAAAAAAGTAGTTTTCACTTTTGCAGAAGTCTTGTGACCCTCCTAAATTTATATCCCATAGAATCATGGGGTTTGTAGTCTGTTAAGACTCTAAAGCAATGGTTCTCAACCTGTGGGTCCCCAGATGTTTTGGTCTTCAAATCTCAGAAATCCTAATAGCTGGTAAACAGGCTGGGAGTTGTGGGCCAAAACACCTGGGGAGTCACAGGTTGAAAACCACTGCTCTAAAGCTCTGTGTCTCAGAAATCAAAATATCCCTCCCTTAACTGTAAAACCTAGGACTCCAATGGGATGAGACCATGGCAACTGTAATATGGAAGGGCCCTATATTGATATTATGGCCACATATAAATCTGTTTTTAATGTAGTACCACTCTGAGATTAGGAATGATGGCAGGGAATTCTTGAGTCTGCTGAACAGTTGGAATTAGAAAAATCTTGCCAATCTCTACCGCAAACCAGGCAGTGAATTAGAAAATCCCAATCTCCCTTCTCCACACCTGCATCCTGAGGAGCATCACAAAGATATAATGAGAGGTGCATCTACACCAGTGGTTCTCAACCTGTGGATCCCCAGATGTTTTGGCCTTCAACTCCCAGAAATCCTAACAGCTGGTAAACTGGCTGGGATTTCTGGGCATTGTAGGCCAATATGCTCGGGGACCCACAGGTTGAGAACCACTGATCTACACTGTAGAATTAATGTCATTTGACACCACTGTAACTGTCTTGCTAAGTACTATGGGATCTTGGGAATTATAATTTGGTGAGGCATCAGCACTCTTTGGCAGAGAAGGCTAAAGACCTTGTAAAATTCAACTCCAGAATTCCATAGCATTGAGCCATGGCAGTTAAAGCGGTGTTAAGATGCTTTAATTCTGCAGTGTAGATGCAGTCCAGGTATTAAAATGCCAGGTTTCCCAAACAGAAGTGAGCTGCAGATCATATCATAGAATTATAGATACTTTGAAATTATCTGCAGCTCACCTCTGTTTGAGAAGGTTGGCATTTTCATACCTGGGCTGCATGGTGTACGTTGAGTGAGCTTCGGATCATTTGTCACTATAACAAAACTTTAGAAGCCACTTGTACGTTTTCAGCGTATAAACAATGCCAAGTTTTAAAACCAGCACATGCTTTCATAGAATGAAAGAGCTAGCCTTTTTTATTTATCTTTAATTTCTGCTTTTAAGCAAAATTATTTCCAAATGCTGATAGCAACCTGTAGCCATTTCCTGGAGTCAGTTTAAAAATGCTGCAAAATAGGGACTATAAGGTTGTAACAAGAAGCCAAATTATATTTTTAACATGTACAGTATAGTTGTTTTACTTTTAAAAGGTTCTACAACATATGTGGCAAACATCTTATGAATATAAATTATCATTTATATATATTACTTCTTTCTCCACTTTGGAAATGTGATACAGTTCTGAATTCTAATAAAGCTTATTAATGTCTTTAACTGTTTCTAATACAAGCCATCTTGGGTTTAGAAACTTGAATAAGTGTGTGTGTGTGTGTGTGTGTATCAGTCGAAACACTTTCAAGGCAGCAAACTGGATTGAGATTAGGTTAGTTTTTCTTCAGAATTATAGAAGCTTCATGGAAACCAATGGAAAGTAACGTGACTATCTTGACTCACCGATTTAAATAGGATTAACATAGGTCCAAGTTTGATCCAAACTATTCTATCTTTCTGGAATAATATGACTGTGTATTAAAATTTGGAAGGAGGTCTGTTAAAAAAAGGCTACAGTGAGTGATCCTATTTTGTTAATATAGATGGACAAACTATCCAGTTTAAGTGTGCATGTACCAAATAATTGGCCTAGAAATAGCAGTATTTAAAGCTTTCAATTAGTTATATGTATTATTATTATTATCATCACCATCATCATTATTTGTTGCCTTGTATTGGTTTACTGGGTAAGGTATTTTTAAACATTGGCCAGAGAAAAATCCCAGAGAAAATGTCCATTAAAATAAGATGTTAAGCAGATTACACCTATTATGGAGCCAAATTGCAACATCTGGTTTGTGGATTATATTTCGTGTGGATTGAGATTTTAGGAGTCCTGTGCCATGGTTTAGCATTTCGCCTTGCACATATGGGAATCTCCTTTTGCAAATCACCAAGCTCCAAGTGCCATAAATACCAGATAATCTTTTTCTGAGTGTCTTGTTCTCAGCATATACCATGACTCCCCATTATTTCATAAAATGAGATTAAAGTAAAGATATACACTATAGCCATACATTATATATAATATATAGCAGAAAATATTTGGATGAAGTTCTGAATTGATCTATGGCTTTCTCCTATCCCTGCTTCCATTTTCTTCCAATTTGACTGTGGTCTCCTCTCTGGAGACAATAACGGCCTGAGGACAGAGATCTGTCTTCTTCTTTGGCTATGGAAAACCCTTGGGTGGCAGTGGACAAGTCACACTCTCTCAATATGTATGTTATACTAGTTGAATATTCAGAGGAAGGCAAAGACAAACTGCCTCTGAGCAGATCTTGGCAAGAAAACTTGTAATAGGTTTGCCTTCGTGTCCCCAAAAGCCAGAAAGGACTTGAAGACACACAAGATAATGGTGCTTGATGGTGGTGGTGATGGTGATGGCTGCATGCTGCTTGCAATAACTTGCTATGAATAAGAGCCAGAACTTCGGAAAGTTACAGTTTTGGACTGCAGTTTCCAGAATCCCTAGGCATCATGACTGGAAGATGCTGGGAGTTAAAACAGTGGTTCTCAACCTGGTGTCCCTAGATGTTTCTGGCCTACAACTCCCGAAAATCCCATCCAGTTTACCAGCTGTTAGGATTTCTGGGAGTTGAAGGCCAACAACATCTGGGGACCACAGGTTGAGAACCACTGGTCTAAAAGAATCTGGACAGATCATTAGTACACCTAACTAATCTATACTTGACTTTCACAAATTTATCAGTTTATAGAGGTAGCTTTCACAAGTGAGTGGTTACATGGGTAAAGTTTATCTCTTGGACTAAGTGGTTGATCACCTTTGTGGTAAATCCTGGCTATAAATCCTCCTATATGAAGGTCCCCTGACCTTCAAGAAAGGTGTTTCAGGGGATTTAGCGGGCTGCCTTGGGGAAATAGTGGGAAAACCTGGATTGGGAACAGCACTCCACTCTCATTAAGTTGAATACAATCAAAGGAAATTATACTCTCTCTTCTATTCATAGCCAAGTAGTCATTCCTTGGAATAAAGCAACCATATTATTTTTGTAATGCTAGAAATACTATTCATCTATCCATTGTACACCCAAAAT